CTGAGAGTGTTGCATGGGTAGGCCCATTGTCATAATTGAAAATTCACTTGTCTGGCAAAAATTAAGTGATAGACAAATTTTCCAAAATATAAAGGCAGAATTATTTGTTTGTAGGAACAGATTTGTAGTGGATAATTCCTTTGATATCAAGAAAGCTGATTGGCATGGTTTTTTCCATCCATATTTACTTTTTTAAGGTTAGGTTCTAGTGAGAATCCTTCTTTAAGTCTGATCAAATGTACAGAACTTGTTTGACATGAATAAACCTTTAGAATTTTCAACAGAGATAAAATTCATCAACAGAGTAGAAGGAGTGAGTTAAGAGGCAATCTTTAAGTGCTCGTTTGAATACTTGTATATAATGTTTTGAACTTTTAATTGGAAGATTTTTGAATAATTTGATACCTGTATAAGTTACTCCTTTTTGATCTTTTTGATGTTTAATGAGATTAGGATTTGGCATATGAAGGTCATATTTATGTTTAGTGAGGTTAGGATTTGGCATATGAAGGTCATATTTATGTCTTGTGTTTAAATCATTTGTATTCGTTGCCAGTTCATACAGGAAAGCATCAGTCTACTTCCAAATTTGTACCTACCCACAATTCATCGTTCCTTCGTAGTCGAAAAGCTGAAACACTATCATTAAACAGCCCAAGAATTTTAAAGGATGGGAGTGCACACATCTTGTTTAAAATCCCAAGGATAATAACCAGACTTAAGTTACATAAATATTATCGTGTAGTGGTCACTGAGGAATGTGGTATTGCTTTGCAGTAACTTCCGTAGCTAGACGAGGCAAAAATGGGAGGAGCTGAAGTTTGGGGAAGGGCGTATTCTGTATGTAATATATCTTAATAACCTGTTTAATCGTGTATGTTGTGTCGTTTGATTAAATTTTTAAGGCCTTTGGTCGCGCTTATCTTACCGAACAAGTTTGCTGTCGTTAACCGTTGGACGATAAATATTTCCTGTAATTCATACAGCGTTAAAAGAACCAAAGAATCCTTATAATGTGTCATTAAGATACGCAAAAGTGGGTGGAGACTTCGTCCGAAGAGGTGGCGTCTTGGTCTGCATTTGCTAGTATTTACGTACTTTCGTCTTTCATATTAGGCCTACTTCGAGCCATAGTATTAACAATATCTAACCAGATGTTACGTCGATCTCAAGAAGAACATGGACGCCTTCTTCCATTCTACCGATTCGGGTTTTGTGGACATTACAAAAAGCTATTACACGCAGCAGAAAGTCAGTTTTTGCTGTTCGTAGTAACGGGATGCACATTAATGGGGTGGAAGAAGAAATTAATTTGATAGAAAGCATAATAGAGAAGAGAAATACTTGATAACATTTGAAAGAGTCACGTGGTAAGAATACTGCAAAACAGGTTCTGTAATATGGAGCATGTACTAGATAGGCATAAGAAAACGTTGTGATCTGTTTATATGCCATCCGTTCTCATACATTTTAATTACCTGGAAGTTACTGAACTGTAGCTCAAAGTTTCGTAATTTCTCAGTACATGTTTACGCACG